GATTTAGTTTCAACCCTCCATCAAACTTATTTGCCTGTAGAATAGAAAATGCAGCAAGCAATTAATATTATTGAAAAGTGGGCATTTGAATGGGGATTTAGATTCTCAGTGGATAAATACAAAAAACAAACAACAAACATGTTTTTTTACAAGGAAGAAAATATGTCCAGAGTTTAAGCTTAAAAGAATGAGTAGACTCCTTTAAATATTTAGGTCTATAGTTTGATAAGATGCTTACATGGGCTAGTCATATCCAAAAAGTAGTGGATAAATGTAAGAGAGTCTTAAATATTATAAGATATTTGAGGGGAGTGAAGTGCAAGTACACCAGCTATGAAAAATATTTATATAAGATTAACCAGATCAATGTTTGATTATGGATGTATAATGGATCTGCTTCTGCAACTCAGTAAAATAAACTGGATTTGATACAGTATCGGGCTTTGAGATTATGTAGTGGCGCATATAAGACCATTCCTGAGGTAGAGATGGGTGAGATGCCTCTTAAAGCTGCAGTCCATAGCTTTTTGGGGGGTTAAAAATTATCCAAATTACATATTTGAGAAAATGCATAACCAGCCAGTGTTCAAAACTATCTGCTTTCAAAGCAGCACGCTTGTAATAGTGTTTTTAATTCCAGTGGTACTGGTGGATTTCTGCGGGAAATTCGAGCATGTCTTTGCGTCATTATGTCACATCTGTAACCATAAAGAAGGAGTCTCGGCTAGTATAAACTATTATTGCGTGTGAGGATGTTGGAGGTGGAGATTTAAAGCCTTTTCTCACAGCACTTGATATGATTAAACATATCAATTTGATGGCGTATCCAGAAAGGTTTAAACGACAATAACCAGTGACAACAGATTCAACCGCTGTAAAATGCAAAAGACTTCGTTCGGACTTCGGAGTGGCTACAGAGAGAAAAAGACTTCAACCAGACCCATGCAAAAACAAGGATACATATTGGAAGGATATTACATATAGTCATGCAATGCTGACGTTGTTAACATTAACAATTTGAGAACAAAGTATAATTTGCACGGTTTTGCGTGATGTAATAACTTATAAGCGATTGTTAGATTTAATCAGCGTGATTTAAAATAATAATCTGTGATCCTGAATACCAGTTTCCAAAAACTGCATTAAGAAGAGAACATTGGCTCTATAGTTTATCGGACAAATTTTAGGGTCATAAAGAGGATCATCCTGGTTCTAGAGAAATTGAAGCACAGATATCACAAATTCTTGTTGGTGAAATTTGACACTGTTTAAGATGCTGTGTCATCATAGTGTAATGCTACTCTTTCATCATTGCTCCTTTAGACACACAGTAATACTCAAAGTAATAACCATGTCAAGCCATTATAAGTAATAAACTAGTTTAATTGTTGAAATATCATAGAAAGGGTAATTTGTCACTATTATGTCAAAGTAATCAGTGAGGTGAAGGCCTTAAGGTAGAAATTTGTATATTGTGATTTTTGTTGGTGAATTAGTGACTTAAATGATGTTAACATTATTTAGAGTGAAATTCTGAGTTGCTAAACACATGATTTGACCCAGGAATTTTTTTTTCATATTGGCCACGCACGTGTGTGTGTGTGTGTGTGTGCATGTGTGTCTTCAAAGGAATCGTGGAAAGTACCCGTAGAGGGGAGGGGGGGTTGGGGGGTTAACAAAACAAAACAAATATAGAGCACTTTCACATCTTAGAATCCTTCTGTATACCTCAAAAAACACAATGACGTACATACGGTGTTAACTACAATCTGCTTCCCTGAATGATCTTAATGGTCACTTCCTGCTATTACTTTATTGTGCAGCTGGCATTTGCTCATGTAATGTTCTCAACTGATTCAGTGTTGTGCTGACTATATTATTTGTTATTTAGGAGGCAGAGTGATGATTTTCAAATCATGGAACATGTCTGAAATTGTCAAAACCCCTGTTTCTCTCTCACATTGTTTTTTGAGACGGTCTATGAATATATGCCTTTGGCACAAAAAATATATATTTCCAAATCAGCATGTTAGTACTACTTCTCAAATCTCAGATCACATCACGTCATCAAACTATTACTGTCAGTCAAGTCAAGAAAAAATAATTACACCACTTGTTTTTTTCAAGTTACTGACTAAAGATCTCCTCTTCCAACAATAACAAGGTATCATACCACAACAGTCAATTGCAAAAACTTGATAGTTGTGATTTGCATTAAGTGATATGACATTATAGCACATTGAATAGTACATAAACTATGGACAAAAATTACATAAAGTTAATGCATGTGTGTATGTGTGTGGTCCGGGTGTTCCCTAGGAGGACAAAGTTGTTAGACATCACATAAGAAACAGAAGTACAAACATGCAAATGCAGATAGATACAAATAATCTGCAAATGTACAACTCCATTAGTATCAACATAAGTGTAGTGCTTGTCATGAGTCAGTGATGACGTAGGTGTGTTCTTATATGCATTGTGTGAGAATGCCTGAAATTCATTGTGGTCTTATTTAAACAGGCTTCTTATTATTGTACCACTCTTTTGTTGTCTAAGTTGACATTACTTCCAGCATACAGAAGCTTACATATAGCCAGTTGAACATTCCTCCTAAAATATGTTGTTCACTGAGTCACTGACCAACATACACTAAGAAGACCCAACACTATTATATTCGCCCTGTCAGCTGTATTTCCTCATTTATTTAGCTTTTTACTGAGACAGTGATAAGAAACATTTGGTGAGGGGATTCCCCTGCCTCTTTTCATTCATCCTCTTTCCTATAATGGGTGTGGCTGAGTCTGGCAATGATGTTTACATGTTTGTAATTCTGTTGCCAAGGTTACAGTAAAGCTTAGGGTCAAAGAGATTTTAGCCACAATTCTTTTTTTTTTTACTCGTGTGCAGAAGTTATCTGATCATGACAACTATGACAACAGGTTGATTAACTCCTATTAGCTTTTAAATTCTGTAGAAATGTAGTAAAATTAACAGAGATTATCCTGCTGAACGGTTAGCCCAGCATGAATTTGGTCTAAGCTGGTTTCTGATATTATCAAGTATAAAAGTAAAAAAAAATTGGTAAACCAGCATGATCTGGTTAAGAAGTATAGACATCTAGCATATACCACACAGTGAATCAGCATCTAAAACAAAATGGGACTGGAGATGTCTTGTCCAGAAATCTCTTTTCTTAAACAGTCATTGCAAGCAAATTCTCCTTTTTCATGATGCTTTTCATAAGAGGGAAAGGAAAATCATACGGGCTTTAACCATTTTTAGGGAAATTCCCCACCAAATTTATAAGAAACAAATTACCCACTTAGGACCTAACCAGGAGGACACTTTCTATTGGCTTTTATATATCAGAATATAAAGGGGGAAATCCCTTAAAATGTAGTGTTTGTCTTCTGACCATTATTATTATTATTATTATTATTATTATTATTAAGCAACATCTTTTGCCTTATTCAGATTAACACATTCTCTTGTTTTGTTAGTTATTCTGTAAGTTGCGATTACTATACTTTTTCAACATAATGGCAAAATTAATTTTATTGTTTACAATTATTTACTGTTACAATTTACTTTTTTTCTGTAACTGCATGCTTTTGGATTCTGTGTTCTTCATTTTTTGATGTAGTGTTTAAAGAAGGATCTGTAGTGTTTTCTAATATTAATCCGCTGTGTGTGTTTGAGCTGAGAGCATTATTTGACTTAGAGCATAGAGAAAATGGTTTTGAGACAATTGTTAAAATGTGGCGTATGCTGGAAAATTGGGCACTTGGTACGCGCTTGTCCCAGACCCTGACCTGAACCATAGAAAATGTGTGGTCTGAACTGAAGAGAAGAAGCACCAACATGGATCTGGGAATCTGAAGGATCTGGAGATGTTCTGTATGGAGGAATGGTCTCTGATCTCTTGTCAGGTGTTCTCCAAACTCATCAGGCATTATAGGAGAAGACTCAGAGCTGGTATATTAGCAAAAGGAAATTGCAAAAAAGTATTTAATAAAAAGGTGCCAATAATTGTGGCCAACGTGTTTTGGAGAAAAACATTTATTGTAATGTGATTTCCACCCCAGTTTCAATTATTTTACTTCAATGAAAGGTTAGAATTTTGCAAATTATTTGAATGAAAGATCAAAAGGATAAACAATGCAGATTAATTTTTTACAGCCAGTTTTGATCATATTTACCAGGGGTGCCATCAATTCTGACCATGACTGTATATATATATTTTATAAAATCTATAGAGTTTGGATTGATTTTTGGGTTTTACAAAACTATGGGAGATCTTTCAACTTTTGAATTGATATGGTGTAGTCATGGTGCAGTTTGTGTAGGTGATTTTTTTATTTATTTGTAATTTCAGTGTGTATTATTATCATCTGTATTATATTTTTGAATTTATTGTGAAGAGATACTGATTAAATTGTAAAGAAAGGGTTTTTTATGTAGGCTATATAAACAAGAGGGATATCTTTATTCCAGTATGTGCTTGTATACCAATATTTTTATTTTATTTTGTGCAAATAAATGTATATGAATAATTGGATCATTATTCATTCATATACATATTTAAAACATAAATTTCATATAAATATTTGATATTTAATGATCTCAGCAGTCAGCATCAATTGTCTCTGAGATAAATAAAAAGAAAGTGTTTCATCATTTATTTTGTTTTAGCGCCATCTAATGGACAAATATGAGTAACACTATCTTTTAGTGTTCTTAATACTTACCATAGTAACAACTAACCCTCAACCAAACCCTAATCCTAGCCTAACCCTATATTAAGTACATTTTGTTAAGTAATATTTAATAACAGTTCTTTTGAATATCTGCAAAACATTATATCAAGATTTTGTGTGCCCTGAGAACAAAAATAGTTGAAACGGCCAAAATATATTGGTAGGTATAGGTGTGTACATGTACATTCTGTTTTTGTTTTCACTCTGCTTTAGTTAATAGTTTACTGTGTTCCTTGTTCCCAGATCACGTTTCCACTGCTGGGCTAGGGCCGGGCCAGCGCCAACAGCGAGCCGAGCCGAACCAGTGGCCTCAAGCCTCTCGCTGCATCCTGCGGTGGAGATCCAACCCGGCCCCATCCAAGTGTGACGTCAGAAGCTACCACGCCCATGCCCAAATTGGACACATTCTCGTTAACATTTAAAAACAGGAAGAACTATCGAGAAGAGAAGACTAGAAGACGAAGGTAACTGCGAAACAAAATGCACAAAACACACTTGCGGTTTTAGTATAAACACTGTTTAACATAGCCTAATACGAATGAGCTGTATGAGAATGAGATGTTACCTGTTGTAAGCTGCTCTTATCACTTTATTAGTAGTTTGTAATGTGTGCGGCTGATCACTTGACTAGCATGCCTGCTCCGCAATTAGCGCGAAAGCCCGCGATATGTAATAATTTATTACAGGTAGCTAAACTTAACATTTCATATTTGACATAATTTTTTAGGTCATAAATGTTAAACGAATGACAAAAAATAATCAGGCAAACTAATAGCCATTTTGAACTGAAAATTAGTATAAAAAATAGTAACGTGTAATGTAATAATTAGTTTACTGTCATTGTTGTGAGGGGACAAGAAATGACCGTTTTCATCATTTTAGGCACATGAGTAATAATGAATGTATACATATTGAGAATATAATACAAATTGTAGCCTTTAGTACAAAGCTAAGTCTTCAGAGGGGAAGAGAAAGTGATGAAGAGACTGAGGAAAAAAGAAAGAGTGAGATGAGAGGTGAGGCTCTCCTCTCCTTTGACAAATAATCTACTGCCCACTGACATGGTTTTAAAGCAATTTCATATCCTTTTTTTAGGTCTTCAAACGTCTTGAAAATGCAAATATCAGATAACTAAAAAATGTGAAGCCCCTACCAACCTCAAATTTAGGACCTCTTTGATTATAAAGCCCTGTATTAGGCATACAAACAATAATAAATGTGTAGCCTATACATATTGTGAATGCATTTGATAAACTTAATTACCAAGCTTTAGCTTTCAGTAAATAAACGCGTCTGAAAAAAATTATTCATAGGCAAAATCAACCTATATCAGTTGACCCTATGTTTACTTTCTTCACTGACAGAAAAATGAAAAGCCTATATCAGTCAAAGCTCAGTTAGGAGTTAAATTTAAACTTAAATTTAGCTTATCCTTACATTTTTTGTTTGTTTTTGGGGGCGTGTTAGAGTGGGATTTTGTTAGGTGGTCCTCAGAAAAAAAATGGAAGATAAAGTGGTCCTTGGGCTGAAAAAGTTTGAGAAACACTGGTCTAGAGCCTCCATTTTTGCACTCAGGTTTAAGTCTCAGGGCCCTCTATTAGAATCCAGAGTTTTGAGAGGATTGGAGAAACTTCATTTTTCGCCTGAAATACTGAAAAAAACGAAAGGGGTACCACTGTCGTTTTTTTTTCGGGTCGAAATTTTGAGTTTCGATATCTCAGCTCTGGAAGGGTCTAGAGCCTCCATTTTTGCACTCAGGTTTAAGTCTCATGGCCCTCTATTAGAATCCAGAGTTTTGAGAAGATTGGAGAAACTTTATTTTTCGCCGAAAAAAAAAAAAACGAAAGGGGTACCACTGTCGTTTTTTTTCGGGTCGAAATTTTGAGTTTCGATATCTCAGCTCTGGAAGGGTCTAGAGCCTCCATTTTTGCACTCAGGTTTAAGTCTCATGGCCCTCTATTAGAATCCAGCGTTTTGAGAAGATTGGAGAAACTTTATTTTTCGCCCGAAAAAAAAAAAAACGAAAGGGGTACCACTGTCGTTTTTTTTTCGGGTCGAAATTTTGAGTTTCAATATCTCAGCTCTGGAAGGGTCTAAAGCCTCCATTTTTGCACTCAGGTTTAAGTCTCATGGCGCTCTATCAGAATCCAGAGTTTTGAGAGGATTGGAGAAACTTCATTTTTCGCCTGAAAAAAAAAAACGAAAGGGGTACCACTGTCGTTTTTTTTTTTTCGGGTCGAAATTTTGAGTTTCGATATCTCAGCTCTGGAAGGGTCTAGAGCCTCAATTTTTGCAGTCAGGTTTAAGTCTCATGGCCCTCTATCAGAATCCAGAGTTTTGAGAGGATTGGAGAAACTTCATTTTTCGCCTGAAAAAAAAAAAACGAAAGGGGTACCACTGTCGTTTTTTTTTTCGGGTCGAAATTTTGAGTTTCGATATCTCAGCTCTGGAAGGGTCTAGAGCAGGGGTCTCAAACTCAAATTAACTGGGGGCCGCTGGAGATAGAGTCTGGGTCAGGCCGGGCCGTATCAAGTATTTCCAAAAAAAAAAAAAAAAAAAATTGTATTTAAGTATTCTAAAAATGGAATTCCAAAACTGATCCAATCTTCTCAATCTTTATTATTAACGTTTCTTCTGAACTGTTCCTCTGAATTTGAACATTCCTTTCTGTACATGATTGATTCTTCATGAGCTGTCCTTCTGACAGTTGAAGTTAATTTTACAAACTTTCTTTGTCTTTTTCTTATACACAACATCTTTGTTGTGATGATAGTCATATTTGCTTTTTATTTTCTTTATACAACACTATTATATATATATTTTTTTTTTCGGAAGGCACATTTCCTTTTATTATACTTAGAAAAACAATTATTGCTTTTGAAATACAACTAATTCTTTCTACACATGTGTCTCAGGCAAATTACTGACTTTGCACATATCAAAGCAAACCTTCTTATCAACCTGTTGGATCAAAGTTCAGTTCACAAATTTTGAAATGAACTAGTTCCGTTTATATTTCATTCTTCAAAAAATTAACTAGTTCATAGTTCTTTTTTCCATATGTTGCTGCGAGTTTTTTTTTTATTATTAGGCTATTAATATTGCACAGCCCACAACCACAGATAACAATTATTTTGTCGACGGGCAGAGTTTGCACAGACATGTAAGATTTTCCCATCCTCGCCGACCTCATAAAACCCTTTTAAATGATCTTACGACGCCTCCTCGCTCCTCGGTTCACAGACACAAGAATGAACGAGTTTACTAACGTTCATCAGGCAGTAATACAGTAGGCTACGTTCAGTTCACGTTCGCCCAAAATATGAACAAGTTCATGAACTATCGTTCATTGAACGCGTTCAGACACAACACATGTTGCAAGCTCAAAATGATTATTCTCACATTGTTTTAGAGCAGTAATATCCAACACGTCGCTCGCGAGCCTGATTCAGTGGTAGAAGCTCGCCTTGGGGCTGTTCACATATCGCGCTCACATATTTTGCACGCTCAAGTTTGTTTTAAATGTATGCGCGCATCAAGCGCGCTCATAATTGAAGCGACGCGCTCATTTTTTCCATGCGCAGTATATGTTTGTACTTCGTGGTTGTCTATGACAACTATAGCAACAAACCCACCGTAAGCTGTCACGAGGCTATCTGGTAGCCCATAAGGAAAAAAACAACAACAACAAAAAAAACGCGGCAAACGCAACGGCGGGCCGCACTCACATTAAACTTTAATGTCAAGTGGGGGGCCACAAAATATCACCCCGCGGGCCGCAAATGGGCCGCGAGTTTGAGACCTCTGGTCTAGAGCCTCAATTTTTGCAGTCAGGTTTAAGTCTCATGGCCCTCTATCAGAACCCAGAGTTTTAAGAAGATTGGAGAAACTTAATATTTCGCCCGAAAAAAAACCCGAAAGGGGTACCACTGTCGTTTTTTTTTCGTGACGAAATTTTGAGTTTCGATATCTCAGCTCTGGAAGGGTCTAGAGCCTCCATTTTTGCACTCAGGTTTAAGTCTCATGGCCCTCTATTAGAATCCAGAGTTTTGAGAAGATTGGAGAAACTTAATTTTTCGCCCGAAAAAAAAACCCGAAAGGGGTACCACTGTCGTTTTTTTTTTTTCGTGACGAAATTTTGAGTTTCGATATCTCAGCTCTGGAAGGTTCTAGAGCCTCCATTTTTGCACTCAGGTTTAAGTCTCATGGCCCTCTATCAGAATCCAGAGTTTTGAGAGGATTGGAGAAACTTAATTTTTCGCCTAAAAAAAAAAACGAAAGGGGTACCACTGTCGTTTTTTTTTCGGGTCGAAATTTTGAGTTTCGATATCTCAGCTCTGGAAGGGTCTAGAGCCTCCATTTTTGCACTCAGGTTTAAGTCTCATGGCCCTCTATCAGAATCCAGAGTTTTGAGAGGATTGGAGAAACTTCATTTTTCGCCTGAAAAAAAAAAAACGAAAGGGGTACCACTGTCGTTTTTTTTTTCGGGTCGAAATTTTGAGTTTCGATATCTCAGCTCTGGAAGGGTCTAGAGCCTCAATTTTTGCAGTCAACTTTATTTTTCGCCCGAAAAAAAAAAAACGAAAGGGGTACCACTGTCGTTTTTTTTTTTGGGTCGAAATTTTGAGTTTCGATATCTCAGCTCTGGAAGGGTCTAGAGCCCCCATTTTTGCACTCAGGTTTAAGTCTCATGGCCCTCTAGGCGTAAAAAAAAAAATTGTTTGTTTCCGGTTTCCGACCGACCCTGTCAATTTATGTGCGACCCAAAATTATTTTATGAGCTTGGGGAAGAAATAATAAAAATTAAATAAATACACAAATAAAAAAATTTGAGGCGAACTATAAATTTACGTTTTTGTACAGCTCCGTCTTTTTATAGCACGCGATGCAAGATGCATCTTGTCCTCCAGCAATCTATTAACAAACGAGGCAGATATCGTTCGTCAAACTGAACTATAATACATACTATACAAGTCTTTTTTTTTTTTGTAATTTAGGATATTTTTATTCATATTCGCACACATACAAATGCATGCATTCATAGGCATGTACACACCACATACTAATACCTCCATCCGCCTAGTTTTATTAAAAATCATCCCAAAAATTCCAATCATGATCCCAATCCCATCTTCTGCTGTCTATCACTTCTTTCGCCATGTATTTGTTCGTTTCTTTCATTATTTTATGCAATCCAAAACACTCTAACCTGCCGCGGTTCGTATCTCTAGAGCCCGTCTAACTTGTCCGCTTTTCCGGGACAAATGGATTTTTGAAGGACAAGTAAAAGAGAATTTTACTCGCCCCAACGGACAAGTAGCCTGATTAGAACATCAATAACAAACAAAAAAATAACTAGGGAATCACTAAACCGAGAGAATGATTCTGATTTTATTACATTTATTGCAAGTTGCGATCGATTGTGGATAATAAATGTAGCAGGCAGCAGCTACTGTATTACTGA